AATATATAATATATATATATATATATATATATATATATAATTATTTTAAAATATATATTAATTTTAAAAAAAATTGTTAAAATATATTATTTTAATAATTATTTATATGTATTTATATTATTCATATCGAATAGTATTTAATTTTTTATTTTCTATTAATTCATAATATTTTTATAAAATATTTTTGTTTTATAAAATATATATTTCAATTTCATAATTTGAGTAGTTTTACAAATCCAATTGAATCTTTTTCACATATAAGATTCCTAAGATGGTAGAAATTGAAAATTGAATTGAAGGAAAGAAATTAATGAAAATGAAGTATCGTGCATTTTTAATTCAATTCTGGAGCGATTCAATTGTCGAAGCAGCATGGAAATATTAGAAAAAAATTTCATATATATAATTGAAGGAAAGAAATTAATGAAAATGAAATATCGTGCATTTTTAATTCAATTCTGGCGCGATTCAATTGTCGAAGCAGCATGGAAATATTAGAAAAAAATTCCATATCGAATTTTCCAGCATACATTATGCTGAATTTAAAAACGCAACTCTTTTCATCGTGCGTTTCATTGTTAAATTATTTATTAAATATTATTATTTATACTCTTGCATACATGTATTGCTTTATATTATCACTTTTAATTTTAGAATATTAAATTTGTAATACATATTGTAAATATGCACTTTAATATTTGTATAACATATTTGCACCTAAAAAATATTTGAATCAATCAATATAAAAAATAAGAACTCTTAATATTTATTTAATGAACTGAAATAATTGAAAATTAACTTGCTACGTTACAGTTTAAATACACGTCAATTTATATAATTTATTGTTTATTTATATAACGAATAAAATATATGTATTTTATAATTTAAATAAATATATATTATTATTATTATTTAAATAAATATATAATTTAAATAAATGTATCGTAAAATTTAAAAATATCTATTAATAAAATGATTTTAAAATATCAATGATGAAAAACAAATGAAATTATTTCATCTTTTTATTATTTATATTATTGTTTCTATTATTGCTTTTATCTAAATTATCTAAATTATTTAATCTAAATTATTAAAAATTATTTAAATTAATTGTTGGTTAATGCTACAATAATTTAAATCTTTAATTACATATCATATATTTATACATATTATATATTATATATTTAACTAGTATTTGTAGTATATATTTAAAACCAATAATAATTAATTTTTACAATATATAAAGGAACCTCAGGAAAAACAGATTAAATAATCTTGTAGAAATATTAAATATTATATCTTATAAATATTATAATTGAATATATCACAAGAATATTAATTTTTTAATCTCTTAGTATGTATAATATATTTAATATTTATATATTGGACAAGAATGAAATTTTATAGAAAAGAAAAAAAAACAGATTATTTTAATTTAATCTATTTAGATTCTTTATATTCTTAAATATATAATTACTTTGACTATTTTTTTATAAATAAATTTTATAATTAATATCATCATATAATAATTTTAATTATCATTAGTACTATATATTTACTATATATTTCTAATTTATTTTTTTATATATGATGTTTAAAAAATAAATTTTTTTATTTTTTTACATATGTTATTAGCATTTCACATTTAATATAATGCAATATCTACATATCACAATATCTTAATTAATTATTAAATAACAAAATAATATATATTTCTATGTAAATATACTATGTAAATATATGTAAATATCAAAAAATTGTTTAATTTCTTATTAAAAAACATTCAATTATAAAAATATTTTTTATGATGTTAATATATCTAATTTCTGATATCTATATCAATTTTCAATCATATCGGTTTCATTAATAAGATGTTATAGTCAATTGAATAATTTGTGTTTCGACATTGCTTGTTATGTGTGCTCTTTATAATTACAATTTTTTTGACAAAAAATATTGTGTTAATATAATATAATGATATGTAGCTTTGGTTAATTATATAATTCCATTAATTATATTAAAAAAAAATATTTCATTTTGTTAAAAATGAAATATAAACAATATAAACGTTTTATTCATTCACAGATGTGAAAACATTCAAAAGTTTAAAAATTCTATGTGACATTAGATCAAATTAATACAGTTAATTATAATAAGAATCCGATTTTCTGAGTGTTTCATATTTAAATTTTGACATAAAATTTTTTACGTTAAAGAGATTTTATTTTCTTTTTTTAAATAAATAAATTATTATTGTATAAAATGAAATAATAAATATATAAGATATTAACATATTCATGAAACAATCTCTAGAGAATCAATTCTAAAATAAAGATAAAGTTATTATTATATAAAAATATTGATTTATTTATTTATATTACATATAATTTAAATTTATTTTATTAAATGAAGCGAAATAACAGAAGCATGGCAGTGAAATAGAGATAGAAATGCTAAAATCATAAATGAGATAAACTTAATAAGAAACTCTGAAACAATCCACTGAATTCACTCATTCGTCATAATCATTACCCATGATTATTTTTTTCTTGTATAGCAAGCAGAGATCTTTCAAATAAATGATTCATTTCAAATAAACAATAGACTATGATATATGAATAGAATTTATTATGAATGGTATCATTATTCATAATATTATTATTATTAAATAAATTTCAATATTCAGTAATATTATTATTCATAAAATATAGCACATAAATTATTTTCATTAAAGATGGAAATAAATTCAATCGTATATACGAATCCGAATTAATATTATATTTAATTTCACGAATTTCGAATTACTTATTGTTAGAATATTTTTATAATTATATTTGAAAAAATTCTATAGGATTAATAAATATATTCATCATTAGAAATTCAAAAATCAAAGTAAATATAAAAATTGGTATACAAAAATTATTATCATTTATTAAATTAAAAAGTTTAATTTTGCGAATTAAATGAAATGAGTGAAGCGGTATATTAATGTGACGAAAATAATATTGTTTTATTTTATTTATAATAATATATCTCGCTTCATCAATTGACTACATATAATAAATTATAAATATTATTTATATGAAATAATAAATAATTATATAATAATTAATAGATAAACTTTAATTCACATTTTTGTATTTATTTCTCTAGACTTTCTGATTTTTAGAGTCCATTTTTCAAAATATCCTAAATATAGATACTTTAAGTAAGTCTTAAAAAATCAGTTACAAAATTAATTATATAAAAATTTATTATAATATTCATTTTTAAAATAAATCATCGCAAGTATAATTTATAATGAAAAATTAAATAGACATTATATATAAAAAATCTTTTTCTATTTTAATAATAAAAAAAAAATATTTCTTATCCAAATAAGTTTTAAAAAGTTTTTGATAACGTTCTCTTTTGAGAAAAAACATGGATCATTCTGTTTTATTGTTGAAAGATATATTTCAATGTATACTTTGATATAATATACATTCACAAATGATATATTTCAGTATCTTTTC